GAGTGTTTGCAGTTCCTCTCCTGCAAGGTACCATGTTTGTGCCCACTGCACAGTCACAATCCCTTTCCTGTCTTTGTCTCCCAGGAATGAAGAAGTCTTCATAAGGTTTATGAATATAAGTTTAAGTTATGATAGAGGGCTGTCAAGAAAAGCGAAGCAGTAATCATACAACAGGAAGAAGAATTAACTTGGGAAGACATAGCAAAGCGTATGTATGATGGCTTTTAGGGCATTTGATTAATCCAGGTCCTGTATTCTTGAAAAGGGCATAAAAAAGAGCAAAAGATGGGAGACTGTGGCCTGAAGTACCTGCATCCTCTGTTCTCGATGAGTGGCTCATCCTCAGTGGATGTTGTAGGAGAGGAAGGGAGCTGCTGTGTGGGGATACTGGGATACGGGGTGCACCCGTGTGTGCTGCTGTCAGAGCCCCGCAGTGGAGGATGGAGGATCTGTGTTACCAGAGTAGATGGTCATGAGGTGTCCTCTCAATGGGGCAGGCACGAGGTTGGCTCATGATCATGTGTCTCTGGGGGGTGTTTGCCAAGGGTTGCTGTTAGCAGCAGAATGCCTGCAGCATCCAATGGCAGAGCAGGGGTTGGAAATGGATGAGCTTTAAGGTCCCTTCAACCCAAACTGTTCTGTGACTCCATGAAACACAGACGGATGTGGAGGCGCCGGCATCATTCCTAACCAGCAGCACAGGGCTTGGCTGCAGACTGGGTCTCCCACAGGTCCTCTGCTGCCCTACAGCCCATCCTCTCCTAGGGAGCGCAGTGGCAGCAGGAAGCACGTTACTCCCATGTCTGTTTATTTGCGTTACCAGAACCATTTGTGCAGTGGCAGAATTTGCTTCCTGAACCTCTGCCTGTTCCAGCTGCTGCTCCCAGCTGGAGCTGAGCACATCTGCGTGGGGAGCCACCGCCCGAGCTCCTGCCTTCAGCCGCACTCGGCACCAGCCACAGCGGGGCACGAGGAGCTCTTGATGCCCATCACTGGTAATCACTGCACAGGAGGAAGGAGAGGACAGTCAGTAGCTGGTCCTGTGGTTCAGGGCATTGCTACCCGAGTATCGTCACACTTGTGCTGTGGTGAGGCACTCGGCAGCTCCCCTTGCGTGGCCACCTCTGCTGCAAGATCCTATTTGCTGAAGGAGCTCAGAGGCTCCTTCCCCAGGCTCTGCCCTTCCTCTGCCCGGTACCTGTTGCTCAAGGCCTAGGTTTGAGCAATGCCCATGGTGGCCGGGCTGCGGGCAGGGCAGGTTGTGCTTGTGGGTCTGGATGGTTGTTTCAGGGCCAGGTTTCCACCAGAGCTCCATGCCAGAGCCCTGTGATACCATCTCGGCATCTGTTTGGGTGCTCAGCCACCACCGAGGGTGAGGAACCTGCCCCAGGGCAGAGATGTGCTGCCGATCAGCACCCATGAGGCACCCTGGACCAGCGACAGGTCCTTATTGCACCATACCAGAGGAAGGGCTTGGGCTGGAGGTTGGTCCCGGGTTTTGGGAGCAGCACAGGAGATAAGCAGATGCCTTTTCCTGTGACACAGATGCCCTGATGTGCCCCATCTCCAGCCAGGGAGCAGAGCTCCAGTCCAGGGGCTCAAACACCTTTGTGCTTTGTTTGCTGCTGTTTTCCTTAAGGAGCTGCCTCCATTGGCAGCAGTTTCTCTGTAGATGTTTCTTCTCAGAGATGAAGTTACAGACCAAGAAGTCTTCACCTTTCTTTACCTCGGGGTGCGGGTGGCCAGAGGCAAGCATCCTGCCCTGGCTCATCCTCTTTCCATTACAAAATGAGAACCTTGCATGAGCCGCTTCCTCCAACGCTTTTCCTTCTTCCTGATCTCCTCAATGCAGGTTCTGGTGCCGCTGGTAGGACAGACCCAGCTGGAAAACTGCTGGGGAACTGGGAGCTGCAGCCACGTCCTGCTGTGCGCATCGTGTGCGGCTCTGCTGTGCTGCAGCAGAGGCAGGGCTGCTCTCACTGCTGTTTCCTCCTCGAGGAGGACAGGCTGAAGCCGCAGCTCTGCGACACGTGTGTGTTGCGTGTGGCAGTGCTGGGTGGCAGAGCTGATGGTGGAGTTTGACCCAGGAAAAACAAGGGTTTTCCATGAGCAGCACAGAAAATGAAAGCAGTTTCTGACGGAAGGGTGTGAGAAAGATGGGAGCAAGCGCTCCCTTGAGAAATGAACATCCTGCTTCCTAAAGGCAAAGTGTTCCAGTGTTCTTGAGGAATAGAATGGGTTTATAGAAACCTGGAGAGGGGCTTTGGCCAAGGGCCTGCAGGGACAGGCCAAGGGGAATGGCTTTAACCTGCCCGAGGGGAGACTGAGATGAGCTCTTAGGCAGAAGCTCTTCCCTGTGAGGGTGCTGAGGCGCTGGCACAGGGTGCCCAGAGAAGCTGTGGCTGCCCCATCCCTGGCAGTGTTCAAGGCCAGGTTGGACACAGGGGCTTGGAGCAAGCTGCTCTAGTGGAAGGGGTCCCTGCCCATGGCAGGGGTTGGAGCTGGAGGAGCTTTAAGGTCCCTTCAACCCAAACCAGGCTGGGATTTTATGTCACCAAAAGAAAAGCAGTTTGTGAACAGCGCAGAGCCAGCACAGAGGCAGCAGAGGGAGAACATGGGGACAAAGCCCGAGTCTCTACAGGGGTGATGATGGCAAGTCGCTTGGATGGCTCCAGTGCTGAGACTGGACCACTGATGGTGGTCTCCTGAGCAAACACCCTCATTCAGAGGCTCTGGTGCAGGGACTGGGACAGGTCCCGGTGCTACAGAGGCGTTTGTGAATGGTGGCTCTTGGGGAGGGGACAAATGGGTTTGTGCGCTCGGTTTTCCTGCTGGAGACACTTTTCCCTCTGGAGAACCTCGCAGCGTTTGCGACGCTTACATTCAGCAATTCTTCTCTAATTACTTCCAAATTACAGCCACCAGCAATTATATTTTTCAATAGCTGATTGAGTGCTCTGAATCCTAAGAAATTAACTCCCCGATTTTCAAGGACTCGATTTATTAATAGCAGCCATAAGTAGAAATCTTGGCTAATTTTGATCACTACCCAAAGAGCAGAAAGAATGAGGGCTCCTGTTTGCATGTATTAACAATGGGACTGATAAAATTTGCTGGAGACCTTCTTGGGGAACAAGATAATTACAGCTGTGTGGTTTGTGCAGCAATAATTAATGCTCGTGGGCTTTATTCTCCAGGCTTGTTTTCCTTGTGCAGCTCCAACAGTTGAAGTCTTGATGTCTGTCGTTTCACACAACATCGTTCCGGGGCTGGTTATGCTGTAAAAGCCATCAGCCTGGAGGCACACACAGCCTAAATCTCCAAATCATAGCTTAAATCATAGGGTACTGCAAAGCAGGCTCTTCCTATGGAAACCGATACAGATCGGTGAAAACCAAAGGCTTTGAAGTGATTTAGTATGAACTGATTTAGGATCAAAACCAATGGCCCTGTCCTGGGCGAGCAAACCCTTGCTGCTCCTGGCAACTGCAGCTCTTCCCAGCCCTGAATTCCGACTCCCATTTTGAGGGGGAAGCAATCCTTGATGTAACCACAGCTTCTCAGCTGTGCTGGAGCTCACTGTCACATCCTTGTCTGGGTTTTCCCAGGCTTGCTGGCTGGGAAGCTGCTGACCCCGCTGGGTCGCAGGTTCCTGCAGCAGCTCTCCCTTTGGTCAGTGGCTCGGCAGGAGTCCATGCAGATTCCACCCAGGACAAGTCGTCAGGCTCAGCAATCCGGGTGAATTCCCTCTTTTCCAGAACACCCACAGCAGAGGCGGGTTTAGAGGACTTGTTCCAGCAGGAGTGCTTGCCCCTGCCTTCATCACCTGCAGCCAAAGCACAAGAGCTCATTCAGCATCTCTAATGAATCTGTGATGCAGCTGGTTTCCTGTTCAGTGTCAACTGAAGAGGCAGCTGAGCATCACCCTGAGCATCATTCCTGGAGCATGTGGGGTCTTGATAATGCAGCAAGGAAAATGCTTCCCCTGACAGAACCCTCCTGGCCCACTGTGTTGCCAACAGTTTCACTGCTGGAGCACCATCACTGTGGGGTTGTGCCACAGTCACAACCAGCTGCCTTCATGTTCATGGGGGCTCTGGTACCCAGCTCCACTCATGGTCAGTCAGACCCTGGCAGTGTTCAAGGCCAGGCTGGACGGGCTTGGAGCAACCTGCTCTAGGGGAAGGAGCAAAAACCCCACTTTGAGAAATCCCTCCCATGTGGGTAAGTGGCTGCAGGTTAAGTGGTATCTGTGTACTTCAGTGGCATCTGGTGTGGCTGGGCGGTGCACTGAGCCACACACTCCAGCACTTGCATCACCGTGTGATTCATGTGATCGTCTGACCTTCACCTCGCTGCTGTTCTGCTTTTATTTCCCCTGCTCCCAGCCACTTACAGTAAGGGACATTCTCCCTGTGGTTCACACAATGCTTCCTTTCATTCGAGGACTGCGAATGGGTGCGCTGGTAGCATTTTAAACCCCAACCAGGACAATCTTCTACTTGAAAAGCACAGGATGGAGGAACGCTTCCCTCTCCCCTCACGTTAACTCCAGGAGTTGCTGCACATTAGTCACAGCCTCCCCTTGGATGAAAGCCCTGCAACCCCTTGGGGTGGGTTTGCAGTGAAGGTACCTCCCCACGTTGTGTGCTGAAAGGAGAATCCTAGAATCCCAAATTTGAAGGGACCTCAAGGATCATCCTTGAGATACTGGCACATGCTGACAAGGTCACCTGAGCCTTCTCTTCTCCAGGCTGCACAGTCCCAGCTCTCCCAGCCGTTCCTCACACACTGCCCAGCCCCTGGATCATCTTTGTGGCCCTTCTCCGGACCCTCTCCAACCCATCCCCAGCCTTTTTGTACAGCAGGGACCAAAACCGCTCACAGTATTCCAGGGGCGGCCTGATAAGAGCCAAGTGGAGCGGGATAATGCCAGGTTTTCCAGGAGGCCAGCGCTGTGCACTGGCCCTTGCTGTACCTTCAGCATCCTCGGGTGTCTTGGCTGTTTGATGCATGAAGGTAAAAGAAAGCCTGGTGGTGTCTCAGCAGGAGCACCTCAGCTTTCCACTGCAGGAGAGCTTCTGGGCTATGGCAAGAGGCCACCACAGGCTCTAGGACACTGCTGTGCATCAAGATCCTCCACCATCAATCACATCTACTGCGCACCAGAATGGCTGTGGCGTTACCAAGGCCTCTCCATGGCGGGGAGGAAAACCACACCAAATGGAAGGAGAGTCATCTGCAGATCTTTAAGTTAAAAATAGGCAGGATTTGGTCTGCAGAAGACAGTTTGTTCTGTTGTGCTGCTGGCATCATGTGAGCAATGCCAAACACTTCTGCATTTGAAGACTAAAACCAAGGCACTGAAAACAGGAACTTTCTGGATACTCTGCATGCCTGAGAATTACTGGTTTCAGCGAGCTGCCTGATACCATCTCATCCATATGGTTGTGCTTGGGTGGGGGAACAAACATCTCATTAGCTCTGGAGGGTCATTAAAAGCCGGAGAACAGATCATAGGGAATAATAAGGATGCACGTCATCGTGCGAAGACAGATGATAAAAGCCTGTGACACCGAGTGCTTCAATGAGAGGGGACCCAACTGAGGAGTGTGAAGGAGCTGAGCACTTCTAAGGCTAATGTCAGTGGGAGCTGTTTGTAGTCTCCTCATGAGAACAAATCAGACCGACAGCATCGAAATGTGACTAAAAGCAGAGGATGATACAGGGAATTTTGGCCTACATAACTTCGCAATGAGTTCACCGAGCATTCCTGGCTCCCAGGCCTGGACTGAGCCTCCTAAACTGTGCAACACTTCTTTGCAATCAAATTATAGCTTATACACACACAGAGAAACACAGACACATCTGCAGGCACTGCGGAGCTGGGGTGATGCTGCTCAGCTGTTGCACCCGTCTCGGCTACAACAGCGATGCTCATGGTTGCAGAGTACCCTGGCACCAGCGAGCAAGGAAATGGTAAGAACTGCAACTCTTCCCCAGCCTTGGTCTTGATCCAAATGCTGTAATAATATAACTCATAGTGTTATATGAGTATAACTCATAATGTAACTCATAGGAGTTAAAAACCAAGTAGCATGGATTTGAGTGCAGAAAGCAGAGGAATAGCATGTCGGGTGTTTATTCCCAATTTCTTCATGTAGGTGATGGCCAGCTCAGACGAAGTCTAGACGAGGTGCCTGCTACTTGGCTGCACCAGAGGTTGTTTGTTATTTTTCCACATGCTCAGAGAATTACTCCGTTCTCTTCAAAAAAGGGGAAGTTCTGCAATCCTATTTACTCTGCTCTTTATCACACTGAACCTGGCTCCTCTCCGCATGCCCTGTTCTTTTCCTAGCTCAACACCGGCAGCCAAAGCCTTGTCCCCTTACAAATGTCACAGATACACAGCCCAGCAGTGGTGAGTTATGCAAGTGTTTGGCTTTTTGCCTCTGAAAATAGCTACTCTGGAGAAAAATACAAATAACCCTTGCATGTTCTCACCGGGTTATAACGGGTCACAAAGTCCCCACTGGTTGGGAAAACATCTTGCAATTTGTAGTTGTATAACTTTAAGTGGACCCCAACATTAATGAAAGAGACCTTAAATGTTTGGAATGAGAGATGCTAATCCGGCTGCTGATGCCGGCTCAGTGCTGGGGAGTTTCCATAGCAAGAGTGTTCTTTCTTTACAGTCTTCATCTTTATCTGTCCCCATTCTTTTGCCCCCCTCTCTTTTCTAATGGGTTTTGGCATGAGGTTTCCTACCACAAATGAAGCAAATCTTTCCGCTGAGGTTTTAACCTGATTATAACAACAAAGCAAATGCAAATGGGGCTGTCACTAGGCTCCAGATTGCCTCCTGTCAGGGCAGGTTTCCCCCCTGCCACCCCCATCTTCAGCTTTTTCAGGCTAGAGCTTGGACATCTGTATACTGTTGCTGGATACCTCCAATATCTAGACAGGTCCATATGCTCTTCTAGCTTTTGCCAGCAAAGTGCTGGGGCTGGAATCAAGTATCTGTAGGTTGTGTGTAGTAAAAATAAACCGGCAGAAGACAGAAAAGCATTTGATGAAAGAGCCTGGTTCAGACAGAGCTGTTCCGCTGCGGAATGTGTATCTGTTTGGGGCAAAAACTTCTGCCTTTGAGCAAACCAGCTGGTTTTTTATGTTCGATGGTGTTTTGTAACAAGTTTGAATGTTTTTGTCAGCTCCTGCTCTGTTTGATCAGACACTTGTGATAATGTTCTACACTATAACATGCCTGGGGGTGGGTTGGATGCTCTGGTGACTTGGCAAGAGTCAGAATCAGAGAGTCACAGAATGGTTTATGTTGAAGGGACCTTAAAGCTCATCCAGTTCCAACCCCTGCCACGGGCAGGGACACCTCCCACTAAAGCAGGTTGCTCCAAGCCCCTGTGTCCAACCTGGCCTTGAGCACTCCCTTCCATTCCTGATCCCACTCAGAAGAGTGTGGCTCAGGCACTGGATGGGCAGGCACCCGTTCCTGCTTCAGCTGAACCTTCCAAACAGTGGACAAGGAAGAGGAATGCCCTTCTGGATTCATGTCTGTTCACTTCTGGACATGGGAGGGAAATGAGAACAGACATGTATGTGTCTCAGGTCTATAGAAACAGCTTTTACTGTCCTCACTGGCAACCTTCAGAGAGTCTGTGTCAATGCACCTCTTTGTTTTCATAGAAACCTTAGTAAAGGAACAGCAAATAACCTGATTCACTCCTTGCTTTAGCAGATTGCTCCTAACTTGGGAACTAGGACTCCAGAAGCGATCCGGTGTGTGACTGGCTGGGAATTACCTGACACAACAGCCAGTGTGTGATGTTCCAAACCCCACTCTGCATCCTCAAACGTTAAATATTGGTTATTTCAGCATTTCCACCAGTCCTCCATGAAGCTTCTCCTGTGGATATCCCATAAAGTGCCATCAGCTGAGAGATGTTCCCTTCAGCTGGGAGCTAAGAGTAGGAAATCCTTCATGTCTCCACTCGGAGCTGCAGTTCAGTCTGCTCCAGGGAGCAGCTGGGGCTTGTCATCCCCCTCTCTTTGCATGTTAATGTAATCTTAAGACCTTTCAATCTCCAGGCTCACTGTATTCACAGTACATTCACACCAGCACTCAGCACCTTAGAGACCATCAAAGACGTGTGACAGGGATCATGAAAAGCAAGGAAAGTTGCCACTGAAGGTAAAGCATGAGTAGAGAAAGTGTTGTATCCCTGCATTTAAAAGGTGTTAGGCTTCCCACGTGCTTCAGTCTTGTTGATGAAGGCTGAAAAATAAGGATTTGACTGTTATGATGAACTCTAAATGCTTATGGGTACACGGCTCTCCAGTTTCACCCTTCAGGAAAATGCATATGTGGAAGGAAACGTGTAAAGAACAAAGATGGGTTTTAATTTCAACCATTCTGATAAAGCAGGAAAAGATCTCCCAATTCTCATGCTTCATTTCTACTGTTTACCATTATCCTCTGCACTGAAGCTCTAGGAATATGCACGATGGGGAGCTGTGCCTCCAAAGGAGCAAAAAGCAGTGGTACAATACAGAATGGGCATTCTTGGGTTTGATTTTGCAGAAGTGATTTGCTATTTCACACTCTGTAGGACATCATTTCAGGAAATGAAAACTGGAGCTGCAAAACGCTGGTGAGGCAGGAGGTGAATGTTCTTACCTGGGTGTCTGGGATGATCAGCCTCGTGCCATCTGCAAAGGTGGAATTTACCTGCAAAAGGCACACTTGCACCAAAGTGCTACCCCTTCCCCTCCCCGATGTCACACACTTTTACTGAACTATCCCCCAAATGTTCTACCCAGGAAGTTAATCACCACAATAAGCATAAATGGTAAAAGGGTCTGAAGAGATTCTTTCCCCTGGGGGGATCCCAGAACATTTTGTTTTCCTGTCCAGCAGAGAATGAATCTGCCTTCCTTGTGGTGTGCTAACCACACACTTAGCCAGTAGCTGTTGCCAATGATGTGCATGAATCTCTGATAAGGACTTTTTCCCCCCTTCCAAGCTAAGAAATTAAAAACAATAGCATTAGAGGAGAGGAAGGAAACTGCCAGGCTGGAATAGAACTCACGGGTACAAGAAACAGAGAGAACACATCAAACTGCAAGTAAAAACCTATTTCAGTGGATGATGATTATCTCTCTTTCCCACTGGGAGAGGGGAGGAAGCTGAGTTCTACCCTGAAGAATCTGGGGTGTGCACATGGTGGTGAAAGGCGTGAGATTAAGAGACATCCTTGGGAGTGTCAGAGTGAACCAGAACAATGGAGGGAACATAGCAGGAGGAGGAGATGTTCTTTGTAATTTAGCTGATCTCAAATTCACGGGTGTTTGAAGCAGAAACATTTAATCTCCTGAGGCTGCAGCTCATCTGTATAAATAGCCAGACACCTTCCAGTATTGTATCTAAAACTACAGATAAACTCTTACAACAAATGAGAACCTAAGCAATAAGCAATGATGCTTTATTTGGGCAGTGATAGAGTCCAGACAAAAGGGAAGCAAGTTTTCCCCTCTGCACAGGCAACAGGCATCCTGCTTGGCCACATCCTTTAATCCCAGCCCTGAAATTACTCTCTTGTGAAAGCTTCTTAATAGTGTTTAACTACACAGGCTCTACCACTGGAGGACAGCTGTCACATCAGTGAGCAGTTAGGAGCATGACACTCCTAACACACATTGTTCTCCAGGTATTTGGGAAAATAAACCAGGCAGCTAAAATAGCCCCTGCAATAACTGCAGCCATTAGAGCATCACCTACCCAAAATCAGGTATTTTTTGGAGCGAGGGAAGTCTTGTTTCACAGGTCACTTGAGCCAAGCAATAAAACTGGAACAGCAGCTTTGGTTCCTGCTGAGTACCTGTGTTTACTGCTCAGTGCGTGCCTGCTGGCTGATGCACCATAAATAAGACAGCTGTGTGCGAAAGAAAAAGGGATTCTTAGGATACCACTTTTATCCCTACACTGAATGCCCACTTCCGTGTTACTTTGGTTGTGGGAATGCTGAACAACTTGCCTAGGTGGCAGCATGAGTTACCTTCTGAACACCAAGGCGAGGATTTGAGTTACTGCAGATCCATGAGGACTGTCATAGCACAGATTTCAGTTTGCTTCTTATTCTAGTCTCCCATTAAGGTTGTTTTCCAGTCATGTGCACTTGGAGAGTACTGACTGATCTTTTCCATGAGTTTTAACTATAAAATGAGCTGATAAATTACTTGTTTTGCTATTACATCTCTTCTAGAAAAAACTAAACCAAACATGAAGCAAAAATAAGAGAATCTCTTAACACAGGATTCATGCTCCGGTTCCTTTCTACTTGCTTCTCCCCTGTTACGCAGGAGAACTTTTTCTGTCCGGTTTTTCATGTTGGGCTCCTGGCAGGGAATCGCAGAAGATTCTCACACTACTGGAAATAATATTTTATGTACTGAAGTTGAAAAAGGAGAACGTGTTCTGCCAAAGAACGAGTACAAACCCCTGACCTCTGCAGCAACAACAGACAAGATGCTCAGAAATGCTCATTTTACCACGGAAGTTCTAAGTAATAAATCAGTCTTGATAGACTTGATGGAACTGTGTCCTTAACCTGGCTGTCATTTTTGAGAGCATCCTATATTGTCTCTGCAGTGTAATGAGTTAGTGATGTCCTCAACATAAAAAGGACATGGAACTGTTGGAACAAGTCCAGAGGAGGCCACGAGGATGATCAGGGACTGGAGCACCTCCCATATAAAGATAGGCTGAGAAAGTTGGGGCTGTTCAGCCTGGAGAAGAGAAGGCTGCATGGAGACCTCATAGCAGCCTTCCAGTATCTGAAGGGGGCTTATAGGAATGCTGGGGAGGGACTCTTCATTAGGGACTGTAGTGACAGGACAAGGGGTAACGGGTTCAAACTGAAACAGGGGAAGTTTAGATTGGATCTAAGGAGGAAATTATTTCCTGTGAGGGTGGTGAGGCACTGGAATGGGTTGCCCAGGGAGGTTGTGAATGCTCCATCCCTGGCAGTGTTCAAGGCCAGGTTGGACAGAGCCTTGGGTGAGATGGTTTAGTGTGAGGTGTCCCTGCCCATGGCAGGGGGTTGGAACTGGATGATCTTCAGGTCCTTTCCAACCCGAACTATTCTATGATGTTAAGAATAGCAGCTTTTAACACTCAGGCTACCCCTTCCGCTGCTGTTGTGCCTGCAGTGATACCAGGCACAGCCCCAAGGGCCTACAGTTGAGGAAATGTCAGTTTTTCTTGGATTTGGGGTTGAAGGAAACACTAGAAATATTATAAACCGACTTGGAACCAAGTCCCTCGGCACGAGACAGACAATTGTGCCGTAAAGGGCAAGCGGTGAAGCGAACGGGAAGGAATAGCCGGAGAAAGGGAAGAAACAAACCCACTCTTGTTTATTCGGAAGGAAAGAGGCAACAAAGGGACAAACACAAGCTGTGTGCCTGCAGCTTTGATCTCCTACAGTTACGCATTGGACTCGGTGCAAGGAAGGAAATCTTCCGAGGCGTGTTTGATGCCCGGCTGCATCCTGGTGTCCCCAAGGGGCCGCTGACCAAGGGCTCGGGAGGACCTGGGAACCAGCACAGGGCCGCTTGAGGAAACCACAGGGGGCTTCTGAGCTGGAAAACCACTTTTATTGCAGGTTCAGATCCACATTGGCAGATGGGTAAAGCTGGATGGGGTCAGGTGCGGGGAGTCTGAGCCCCCCAAGACATGTCTGCAGAGTCACAGGCTTTTAGAAGCTCACGAATCAAGAAACTGCAGTCACTGAACCCCAGCCTGGTCTGGTCTGGAAGGGACCTTAAAGCTCCTCCAGTCCCAACCCCTGCCACGGGCAGGGACACCTTCCACTAGAGCAGCTTGCTCCAAGCCCCTGTGTCCAACCTGGCCTTGAACACTGCCAGGGATGGGGCAGCCACAGCTTCTCTGGGCACCCTGTGCCAGCGTCTCAGCACCCTCACAGGGAAGAGCTTCTGCCTAAGAGCTCCTCTCAGTCTCCCCTCTGGCAGGTTAAAGCCATTCCCCTTGGCCTGGCCCTACAGGCCCTTGTCCCAAGCCCCTCTCCAGGTTTCCTGCAGCCCCTTCAGGCACTGGAGCTGCTCTCAGGTCTCCCCTTCAGGAGCCTTCTCTTCTCCAGGCTGCCCCAGCCCAGCTCTCTCAGCCTGGCTCCAGAGCAGAGCTGCTCCAGCCCTCGCAGCAGCTCCATGGCCTCCTCTGGCCTCGCTCCAACAGCTCCACATCCCTCTTGTGCTGCTGCCCCAGCGCTGGGTCAGGGCTGCAGGGGGGTGCAGGGGGGTCTCCCTCGCACGCACTATTAGGGGACCCTCACAGAAGCGATGTTTCCGTGCAGTTACCGCACAAAATGACCCATTTCGGTGTTTCCAGCTTAAACCTAAACCCCCCCCCCTCTCCCGCCAAGCAGCGCTCCCAACGCGCACGCGGCTCCGTGCGCAGCGGCGCGGCCTCCGCGGGCCGCCGGCGCGGGGAAAGTTTCGGGGCGCGTCCCCGCCCCGCCGCGGCGAGAGGGGCCCGGCGGAGCCGCGGCTGAAGGCGCGGTGCCGGCTGCCGCCTTCCCGCACCGCCTGCAGGCATCGCCCCCCCGTCGCGGCCCGGCCCGGGGCGCTGCGGACCGGAGGAGCAGGGCAGTAGAATGAGCGCTCCTGTGGACCCCAGGATCAAACAGGCTTTGCGGAAGAAGCCCTCGGAGCGGACTCCGGAGGTGAGCGGCTCTTTGCGCCTGGTTCCCCTGTTTTCCCTTTGCCCCGTCCCCGTTCCGCAGCCGTCCCGCCCGGTGCCGGGTGCTCGCGGGCGGCACATGGCCCGGCTGGCGCTCCGGAACTCCGGACGTGTGCAGCGGCGTTAGTTAGTTATTTCTCCTTTCCAAAGTTGGACTTCTCGAGGCCAGCAGCCTTTTAAACACCCTGGATATGGGCACAGCGCGGCTGATGAGCTCCTTCGGGCCAGGCTGTAGGGAGAAGGGGAGGTAGAGCACTGGAAAGTAAAACCGTGCCTATTTCAGCCATGCAAAACTTATGGGAAAAGTGAGGGAGCTGCGAGGCTTTCCTTACCTGTGCGGCGATGCAGATTTAAACAAAACCAGGCTAATTATGCTTCAGACTTCATAAAGAGCTGCTTTTCCAGTGAGTGGGAGGGGAGAAATGTGCGAGCCTGGTTAGTTACAATAAAACGCGCTCTTCAGTGGGCTGCCTCCTCTGTCCCTTCCCCACAAGCTGTAATCAGCGTGGATTTAGGGGAATGGTAATGTCATTGCATTAATGTAATGGTGAAATACGTTTGATAGCGTTTGCATTACATGTGAGGCTGACTGGAGTTTGATGCTTGCTTACCCTGGCTGCTTCTTTATTTGTTCCCTTTGCTGTGATTTGTTGTTTTCGATGCACTCACGAGTCAGTGGTATGAAAAGATACGCTCTTGAGTTTGTCCCTTTGAGACCGGGAAACATCTGTTCTCCCTTGGTACTTCATGAGAGCAGAATGTCCTGCCTGGGCTTCCTTATAAGTTAATTATCAAGAGGCTACTTGGGGAAGCGGAGATGGGTTCAGAGTGTGTCCGAGCAGGACAGAGCCCCCCATTCCCCTTCAGTTTCACTCGTGTGAGTGAAATACATTCAGTCCCAATGTGTACTCGCCTTGGGATATCCGGTATGTTTGTCCTCATGTCTCCCTATATTAATGATGAGGCAGTCTCCCTGCTCTGTTTTCTTCCTTTTATCACTCCCCTCTTGCTTCAGCCCTTCTCTTCTTCCTCTCCAGCTGTACTCCTCACGTAGCAAAATTCCTGTGCTTTGCAGTGTTGGGCAACTGGGTTCATCACAGCAGTGGCATTCAGTCACCAGCATACCGTGCTGGCTTGTCAGCCTTTGACTTTGGGAACAGGTAATCTGCTCTGGCCTGAAACATCTGCCCACTGCTGCCTCCTGCACTGCCCATGTCTCGTGGCTCTGTAGGGCTTTTTGTTCTTTATTTCTTCCTAGGCATGACACATTCCCCCCACCCAGCAACTGTAATGGATGTTTTTTTAGGGTTGTCGCCTTATTTTGGCTAAAACAGCCTTAAAATAAATATTTTGCTTAACCTTGTAATAGTAACTGTCAGACAACATGATGCGGAAGGTGTCGCTGACCATGGCAGGGGCTTGGACCTGGATAAGCTTTAGCATCCCCTCCAAAGCAAACTATTCTGTGGTTCTATGATGCCCAGCTGCACTGGACTGTGCTCGTAGGTTTGTGTAGATCTGTGCAGATTCCCACTGAGGCTGACATCAGGGCTGGATTTGCCAAGGTATCTCAGTTGTGTCGCTGCCTGTGGCAGGGGTTGGAACTGGATGAGCTTTAAGGTCCCTTCTACCCAAACCAGGCTGGGATTCTAGGAAAAAAATAAGTTTTTATCTTCTCTAATCTAACTAATGACACCTCTAAGATGATTTAAATTATCTTAATTCCCTTGTAAATCTGAGCCTTTGTAGCAGGAATCTCGGGACCCTGCATAGCGAGACTACTCATGATTAAAGTTAAAACTCAGCAAGGTTGGGTCCTCTGCTCTTGTTGCCTGTTGCTCTGTGGATACTTGCAGTCAAACCACTTTTATTTCTTGGGGTGCCTTTGTTTATATACCTTTAGCATTCCAGGCTGCATTTGGGAGTCCCCATTCTGCATCCGTCCTACCTGTTCGGACACAAAGCTGAAAATCAAACCCCACTGTGCCAGATTTCCCAGGCATACGCTCGGAGCTGTGCTGACAGATGGGTATAGGGTGATGCGGGGACCAGAGCAAACAATTGCAGTGTAGTTTTTACATTCATTTCTTTATTTTTAACCATACTGAGCATCCAGACTTGTCAGCTCTCTTCTTTACGTTGCAAGACATGGGTCAGGGAGGCTGAAACCCGCTCAGCACAGCCCAGCGGGGTCAGACCCCAGTTTCGGGTGTCCCAGCACAGGGTGTACGAGTTGGTGACTCCTGTCCTCAAGTATCCAGTTGTGCACAGGCAATAACTGTGGCTTCATTGCTACCCTCCTACTCTCATAGAAAGGCCTCATCAGCTCCTCCCACATGGAATCAGCTGCGTGGGGCACTTTGACTGCATTCTTATACAGGAAAACCCCCCCAAATTCCCTAAACCATGGCTGGTATTTTATGATAAGCCAACGCTGCTTGACCACATGGGTTTCAGTTGCTTTCAGTCCCCTTTTGCCCTCTTCTCTGTTTGGATCCTGGAGTTTATATGAGCAGTTTACCTGGGCATTACAAATTACAGGGTTGGGGCTGCACTGATTAGTAGCATGGTCTGGTGCTTCATACCCATCATCTGTAGAGCAGCCTGGAAAAGTACAGATAAATAATCCACACATCAAATATCGCTTCCCAGTGGTACAATTATCCACGTGACTTTGATTTTTAGGACCTTTCTTTGACAAAATAAGAGGGAGATATTAGAATATTCTAATAATTTGCCTCTTTTGGGAATGATCTCAATGACTTTGCTTGAGTGAAATATTTCATTCTTGATGCTACAAATGTTTTTGTTTGGAAAAAGCTGTGTTAGGGCAAGTTTTCAGTGTTGTGGTAACATTCCACTGTTTGCTAATTGGTAAAGTGTATAAGCTATGCATATTAGACATGTACACACTTGATTTTGTTTTTTTTGTTGTTGCTCAGATACTTCATGTGTTATAATCTGTAATTTATTTGCCGATGGGGGGGTATTTTGATGAACTCCCAGAGACTGTAGCTAACATTTAATGGTATAAATGTGTTAATGCAATTACTCTTCTGTTCCTCCCTTTGGTAACTTCCATTGGTACTTGGGACCTGTTGGTTACGTGGACTGAGTGTGACCGGATGCTGCCACTGTATGAATCTCTCTGCCTGTCTCTCAAGTTCAGCCTGAAAGTGCAGAATTGGCGAGGGCTCCCTCAGATGGTACCTTTGATAACAGATTATCCTAACAAATCACCTTCTGTGCACACTGGCTTGTCAGATAGAGGAAACCTTCACGGTAAATCGGGCACTTAACTCATACCTCTGTTTGAACTGCAGGATTTCATACTCTTGTTTGCTATTTTACTATCTGCATTAGTCTTCTGGGGTGATGCTGCTGGCTGCGTGGTGTTAAATGTGTCAGTATTTACAATGCGGATCCTCTTTCTTGCAGGTTGGGAATATGGGATTTCGTTACCTCTGTGAGGTGTTGCAGCTTTGTCTTGCACATCATTCCACCTATTTCTTGTCACGGGGGGCGAGGGGGATAATTACATTAGTAATTCGGGAGTATTTTAATGGTAGGAAAGCGCTGTTTGAAGCAGTAGGAGGGAAGGGCGAATGCATATGGCACCATGTATGCTCTCATTAAAGTTTTAGCTTTTTGAGGCCCAGAATTCCTTATCTGATCCGTACACAGGCTGTGATGTTAGTTTTTTGGGGAGTGGTTTAATGCCTACCACAGATAAGGTCTCTGTGACTGATAGGGCAAAATAGCAAATGATTATGCTCCTTTTCTTTCTCTTTCCTCCTTCCCTCCCCCTATGAACATGCTCTCTTCCAGTCTGAATTCATCCTTTTCCCAACGTAGGACTTTGTTCTAGACAGTATTTCCTTTCCGTGGTTCAGAGAGCTTTGCCTTTATTGGACTTCAAAGAGTTAGAGTCTATTTTTATACTGTAAGCTCTTGTATTTTCCTAACTTTGCCTTGTTTCAGTGATCCTTGATTAATGCTAATTCAACTTTATTTGGCAATAGCAGCTCCTCCTTCTCTTCCTGTTCCCCTTTTATTAATCCAGTGGAAAGAGGAAAAAAAACCTCATTTGCACAGTTGTGACACAACGGGGTCTGCTCTTCGGAGTGTGTATGTGATGCTTCTTGACGGCTTCTATATAGAGAAATAGGTCTGCAACGGATCTAAATCATGCACAAATAGTACATTGATGGGCATTATAAAATGGCTGTAATAAATAAAATAAATGATTGCTGACAGCATAACAAAGGCACTCTTGTACTGGAGCACAGCTGAGCCAGACAGAGGAGAACATCTGCTTCTTGTTTCCAGAAATAACTGGTATTTTCAAGTGGGATTTTTCATCCTTTTCAGTGATTTTCTGTACACTCAGTAGGTGAAACAGGGGATTAGCCTGGGTTAAATCCATTGTTCCTGCAGTGAGCCTTTAGGTGTTGATGTAGCAACGGTGGTGTTTTGGGCTGGTCGTTAAATGTACTCAGAATTGTGGAATCACTGCAAAAGTCTTGCCTTTATCTTACAGCGAAAAGAAGTTTGTATTAAATGAAGTTGCAGATGCTGGGTTGTATTTAATATAGATTCTTTCCTGTTAGTATGTGGGCCTCCAAAAGAGGGAAAGAGGAGTGATGGAAACTTGACTCCTGCCATAGTTTTCTACCAACCTCTACTTCTCTCTACTTCTAACCTTTCTGCTACCTAACCTCTTACATTTTCACCCCCCTTTCTTTGTTAGTGATACATTGCTTTATAGCTGATGCTCTCTAAGACTTTGTTGTGCAAGTAACAGTTCTGGAGCTCAAACTGAAGATGACCAATAGATTGTTCTATAGCTCTCTGCTGCATCAACAAGGAGCTGACCAGTGCTATAAAGCTCTTATGCTTTACCTGGGAGATCCTTGGTTCTGTCTTCGCATGTGGCTGTGCCTGGAAGTTGGAAGAGAGCTTTAAAATCGATGTATTGGTTACTGCTGGGAGATAACCCAAGTGATGCTTAACATGTACTGACATGCCTGCGACTTACTACTAATAAATTCCTGGCTGGGTCGTTGGGCACCTTCTGAGTACAGAAGGGCAATGTGCATATGACAACAATGATTATTTACAGTTAGAGGAACATAAAAGCCTGTCGTATAATTACGACTACTTCAGAAGCGGTCTTGTGAAGGCAGCAGTTACAGGTTTATTTTTGCTCTGTATGATTGAAAAATCAAATGCAGAAAGTCGGTTTTAGTGGCAGAAATGCTAAGTAACTGCAGCCTTAGAGAAGGACCTGAGAGTGCGCTGCCTCTCAGACACCCTGTTCGATCAGCATCTTTCTAAGGCCACGAAAGACCCAGAACTGTCAGGATTTCTTAAATATTAGATTAGTCTCTTGGAATAAGATGTGCTGTAAAGCTTTTTTTCTTTCTTTTTATAGCAATCTGGTTAAATTAAAGCTCAGAACAGAGGTACCTGAGGACTGGCACCTTGGATGTTGCATTGGTGCCTGACAGCTCTTCAAATAGTTCGGGTCTTGCAAGCACAGTACAGGTTTTCTTCTTAATGAAGCAGGTCCTGAAGTTCTTCATTACTTTCAGTGAAACAGTAATGAACCTCCTCTCTTCTCCTGCTCTTCCTGCCCCATAGCTTTCAGCTGAAGGGAAAACAAAACCACAGGGTTTTTTTCCATGCTTATTAAATGGATGTATTTAAGCTCCCAGAGGATTGTCGGACAGGCCTGGGAGCTGTGGGAGAGCTGTGTCTCTTCCCTGCCAGCTCCAAGAGTTAGGAAGCTTTTAGAGCTTATATTTCTCTCTGTTTTGTCGTGTAAGAGTGCTTTGGCTGGGTAGTTGTCTCATTACTCTATTTCTTAATACAGTGTAGAATTGTGAGTGTTCATGTCAATTAGACCTGTGGTTTTCCTGTAGTAAAACAGCCAAGCATGCAAATCCTTGTACTCCCTCAGTAAAATGCTCCTTGGGAGTTCCTTTTCATAAACTCTGTTTGCACCTTGGTTTTGGAGCTGAGCAAGAATGATGTTGTTCAGTAGACGTGTCCCAGTCTTCTGTTCCTAAAGTTCAAGTAAATACCAATCGATGCGTGTTTGGTCAGTCTTACTAAACATCCCTGGGAAACCAGGGCAGGTTAAACCTGGTGAACCCCTCCCTGAGACCAGGCAGGGTCAAGACTCTTGTGTGGGTAG